GATTCTGGCGCGAAATTAGTGAGGATTAATGTTAATGTATGCTGAATGGTATTTGATACAATGAAATCTTGCATGCAATGACACAACAATGTTAGGGACGGACCTTTAGAAAAGTTATGGGGGGGTGGGGGGGGGATGGGTTTTTTTAGCTCGCAAGGATTTTTTTCTGGCCGATTGCCTGTGCAAGAATTGTTTTTTTAAAGGAAACCCTTCGCAGGAATTTTTTTCCCGGAAAATTTGTTTCATACCTTTTGGCTCCCATTTACACATTGAAAAGTGGTCCGGACCAATTTTTTTAACCGTCTACACGGTTAACAATTAGGTTAGGCTGATGATCGAAAAGTGCATAGTACTTATGCGCGAAACCACCTTAAAGCACGGCAGGCTCACATGAAGAAGATGGTACGGAACGAAGATGCGTTTATACAGAAATTTCATGAAAACATGGTACGGAAGGTCGACAGTGTTTCTGATCAACACAACAGCCCTATGGAAGAATTCAGTACTTCACTCGCCAGCTTTTGGGTAACAATATCCTTGCTTTTAACTTTTGTATTGATTTCATTGATTTTATCTTTCTTTATTTTTATCATCATTTATGCATCTATTGTAATCGCGTTTTTAGCGATCAATCATCTATGTCGTATGTAGATGTTTATACGGAAGCTGTTTTTATTTCAATGTTTAAAGAATGGCATGCATGTGATGTATTAGACAAAACAAATCAATTGACCGGAAATGTTTACGTAAAGATTCCGAGGTAACAATAAAGGGGAATGAAGATGTAAGATCTCGCTATGCAAAATATGTTTTGTTGCTAGGAAAGGTAAACAGAGTGATCGTGTACTCCTTTTGGGCTTTTTTACGGAAAATGGCGCATAATGGCGCATTTCCCTACCCTTTCATATACTTCAGCTAGGGAAATCTCTACCCTCTTTTATACCTGAAGCTAAAGAAGACACCCCTTTCGCGTGCACCTAACTGCCCCCCCTCCCCAAACGCCTTATGATTGTTCAAAAAATTGAATGAGTTCATTTTAATCCGGTCGGTTCGCAGTGTTTTAAATCAAACCTTATAAAAATATTACTAATAACAAACTAAAAAAAACTTTTCTTGGCTTAAAAACTATGTCCAAGTCGAAGCAATTTGGTTTAGTTTAGACAATTTATCTCTGATCGGTTCCCGGCTCCAACTAAGCTCTAAGGTACTGGTTCCCTGCTAGCAGAGGTCTCTCATTTTTCCTATCATTTTTGCCTCGTCTTGAGAGACCTCTGCTAGCAGGAAAGGTACTGGGATCTTTTTGAAAATCGAAAAAAATTATCCTCAGCGAGAAAAACCAATGTGTCCTAATCACAAAAATTAGTTTCCGCAAAACAGAAAAAATCACCAATCCGCAAAGATTTCGTACCACACGGTATACCCGCCAGGCTTGTTTTTATTTGTATCGGCCATCAATAACATAATGCAATTATCAATCATCTTTTTCATAGTCTCAGTTCAAACAGTTGAAAGAGACCCGTGGGTCGGGGTGGTGTCCGGGATAGGAATGGGTTTAGCAGGGTTACTTCTTCCTTTCATACGCAGTCAGCTGTCTGTTGTGGTAAACTTCTCGTTTTCATACAATACATAATTTCTACCTAGTCTAGGTTTCAGTTCTCTAGCTAACTCTTGAGAGATGAGATATAAAAATCAGTCGCCCATGTTTCCCTTTTTGTTTTCTCATATAACATCGGTCAATGTCTGTTGATGGCTCGGCGGCAAACTGTGTTTTAAATGTCTTAAAGTGGTATAACTGTGGGAAACGGCAACACAACACCAGGAGTAGGACTGAACTATTCGGCGAGGGATACAAGCAAATCAGAAGTTTAGAGCGAAACTTGAATTGTGGGAGAATGACCGCAACCAACGGGAACCGTGGAAATCAATTCTTCAAAACGGTCCTTCTGTTGTTTACGAGAGACGGAAACAAGTGATACAAGCAAAAGACGAGGGATCGATAAACGATTTAAACTCTCTTCTAGAAGGAAAATTGCCGACGAAGGAAATTGCTGTGTTTTTGAGCTCGTCGTTCACGGATATGTTAGTAGAGGGAGATTTACACTGGATTTACTGATGGAGGATACTTATCCGTCTCTACGCGAATGAGGTGGGTTGAAATTGATATTACTTGGAAAATGTGAAACCTTCACTGTACCCGAAAGGTAGAAAGGCAGACTTGGTTTAGTAAGACCAATGCATGAAGGCAGTTTTCGATTCTGCGGTGATATTATGAATTGATAAATGATAAATGAACTGACTGTTAACAAATGGTATGATATTACCAAAAACATTTTCGAATTTGAACATTTGCCCATTTTCTTTGTACTTTTGGCTTCTTTGTAAGAAGCCGAAGCTTTTCAAATTTGGAGCTTTGGACCGTAAAAATGTCCTAGTTGTGTCGCGGCATTCTGGGTGATGAATCAGACGTGATTTCAGGAACATGTCTTATAAAGTTCCTCAAAGATTCTCAAAGATATGAAATGGAGCAAAAAGTAGAAAGAACAGAGCAGAACAAAATGCATTGTCAGACACGGTTTCACTTAGTTAAATTAACCCTCAGACGTATAAGGGTGGTGTATGCCACCTCCCCCCCACCACCCCCTGAGGTTTTTTGGAGCTTTTCCCCAAACGATTAAACATTACCACCTCACTTTTTCAGGAGCTGTTCGTTTTTTGAGACAAGTTTAGTGATGGTCACTTTCTATGGTTATGAGATATGACGTCAAAAGTGGCAGGTGGTCAAGCCATTTTTCAGCAAAAATGCATGTTTTTTCAACTACTTTCAACGATAAAAGTAAAGCTTGTGGACAAAATGAAGCAAAGTACTTACTTATGGTATTTTTCATCTCAAGCAGAAAAAATTACAAATTCTAGCATTTTTTTACGTGATTTCTAATTCTTCGTAATAAAATCCAAGGTGGCAACCGAGATGGCGACCATGTTTGGTGAAGTCATAGGTCTCCAGCAGCGCTACCACCCATAAAATATACCCCATCTTGTAGAGAAGATCAAAGGCTTTCCAATGAAGGTTGAATCTTTTCGAAACATTGCAACATATAAAAAACTCTAGGTTGGGGTTCCTTCAACATCCCCCCTCCCGCCCCCTGGTACCATGGTGGGGGTATGACTCTGCTTGTACGTCCGAGGTTTGATATGAGGTTTGTTTGAGTTTGATATGCTATTGAATCCTTTTTCAAGGTATTCTGCATGGCACCAAAGCCGTATGATAAACACCCTGAATGGGAAACCCTAACAGCTCATTCAGCAGCAGTTCGACATTGTTGTATTGGTAGCAGGGAAAGTGGTCATCCTTTGATTGCCACTGCATCCGATGACAGCTCCGTTCAACTATTGGATACCAGAAACATGCCATCACCCAAAGTCGTCAAATTGCCGGTAAGTAAGGTCAATAACGACAGTCTAAGGCGTGACTTTTTGAAACAGCAATATCTAAGCCAAGATCATCGTCCTTCAATTTAAAAACTGTTTTTTGTTGTTCCTTAGGTACACATTCCATTTCCTAACCGAACACCTTAGTGCTACGCTCGGTGATTTTTTTTTATAGTTACTCTGCGGTAGCTGTCTAGTTTGCGGAGTATTATTGCTATTTCGAATAATGCACATGCATGAAGAAAGGATTTCTTTTTCAATTTGATAATCCCAATATCAAGTAGCCCTTTATTCCAATAATCAATTATATAATATTCCAGTTCGTTTAAAGCATTGCAAGTTGATTAATACACCAGCTTAAAATGTTTTACCTCGATCATATCAAGGAATAATTGATTAAGGGTATCTTCTTGTCATCACTGATATGGGTATAAAAAAGATACAGTAAAAGAGGTAAAGAGTAGCATCCTTGGAGCAGTTTTTTCCAGTTGGAGGTTCAAATCCATTTTTCCAATTCATCTTAACAAATGTCTGGTCAGTACACTCATTTCAGGTTATTCCTTCACTTAGGATCACGATTCTGTTACACTGCTTCTCTACTTTCATGTGGGGTCGCATCGCAGCCTTGCTTTTACCCTAATTACTCCTTCAGACCTGAGTGTCACTTTGTTTTCTTTAATTGCCCAGGATCACGACGGTACAGCTATAGCTTGTTCATTCTCCAGCGATGATAAGTTAGCTGTGAGTTGCTCTGCGACTGAGACATGGGTTTGGCAAGCTTTTACACCTGTGCACAGACTACACCAACTCCATCCAGCCTCAGGTGCAGGAGGTAGGACAACTTAGACCCTGTAGAAAAAGATTAAATGTTGTTTCACTGTCACTTTAATTTATCCAAAAAGAGGAGCCACTGTGGTCAGTCTTATGTGGGAAAACCGACAAAAGATGGAAACCGAACTTTAGATATATTATATATATCGTAATCTAGTGTGACATTCGAACAGACCTACACTCAGGAAAGCATTGATTTCTTTTTACTTCTGGTTAAAAAAAAATAATTATGGTGCAATGTTTTAAACCATACACAAAATGTAGCAGAAAATGCATTCTTATTGCAATTATGACTTTCCCTGATTTCGATAAAGAAAGTTTTATTATTAATAATGTTAAAGTGGCGTCATCGCAAGCCTCCTCCAAATTAACTTGAAACGTGGCTATCTAGTCCATGTCAAGGTTTCGTCCTTTGTCTGACATACTTTTTTCAAAACCTATAAAAATAAATTTTTTGTTTCATTCCTCAGAAATCGGCTCTTATCCGTGTTTTTCTGAAGACAGTGATTTTGTAGCAGTGTTTGTGAAGACCGATGTGGACATTTGGCATCTTAAGTCTGGAGTGGATCGTCATGGATCTGATGCAACCCTAATTATGGGAGCTCACAGGTAACTAATGTGATCCAATAATATCCAATAAAGGACATTGTAACTTTAAATTATTGTTATGACTATCGTCATCGTCATCGTCACTGTCTTTACCATCATCATCACCATCATGATCATGATCATCATCATCATCATCATCATCATCATCATCATCATCATCAACATCATCATCATTATCATTATAATAATAATAATTATTATCATTATCATAAATTATCATTGTAATTAGCATTTTAATTATCATTATTCTCACAACTTGTTCATACAAAGATAATAGGGGTCATAGAGTGCACTCGTTTCTTTCGTATTTCCCACAAAACACCTTGTTTGCCACCTAAAATATTAAGCAATGTCTTAAGCAACGTAGAAACAAAATCAAAGGGGTGAACAAGCTGTATTATGGAAAGTCCTCGAGTGGAGAATTATTGATTAATTGAGTTGTACTAAAAATTTAATCTCTTGACAGAACTCTTACCTTCCTTTCCGTTCGCAACCTCTTCACCAAATTCACATCTGATGGTCTCTATTGCTGTTTGCTGACCGAAAGTGAACCTGGTACAGTCCGTTTGTACCTGGCAGTGAATAAGTTCGTCCTAGATGAGTGGGCGAAACACGAGCTAAAGGCCCCTCCACCAAGCGATTTGAATGATCGTGAGGCTTTTGAGCAGAGATTTTCAGTGGACGAAGGAAAAAAGGTATAGTATAGTTATTTCTTTAATTTGTTATTTAGAAGAAAAGAAACTACGCACTACCCACTACGCAGATAGATACCTAACCAACAGCAGTTTGCGCAACACCAAAGAACAGCACCTACTGTAAGTCTGAAAACTTCTCGATATTCACCTAACCCTTAGCGTTCCTTCCTACTCTGTAGTACCTAGGTGATGAACTGCGCGTAGTACACCAATCAGCTCTTGTTTTAGAGCATAAAAAGCTTTTATACCAATCCTATTAAAGAGTATAAAGGCAAGAAGGAAAAAGAGGGCCATATGGCCAAAGTTCTCGGAAAGAGGTCACTTCTCAGTTCATAATCCATTATTATTTGACTGGTAAGGCTTGGCGAAGAGTAGAAATGTCAAATACTTATTTATTATCTTTAAGACGTGAGTAGGATCATAAATCCAAACACAAGGGCCCCCAAAAAGCTCGCAGAAACACTAATTATTAGGGCTAAAAATATTTTTATTTATTCAGGTTTTTGGAGGTCAGTTAAAGTTAGGGTTTATGGAAGCTTCGTGTAGTTTTTTTAAACAGAATCCTAATACAAGGCGCTGTTGAAAATTCAGCATAGCTAGCTATCGAAATAAAAGATTTTATGACCGAAATGAGTTTTTTTCTTGTTCAGGTTACCGAGGCAGCCATATCAAAAACATGCGGCAGATTGGCGGTCATAAGTGTACCACAGCAAAGCATTGCTCAGGAAACTCTGAAAGGACCAGTGGAGATACACGTATGGGACATGCACTCCAACACAAACTGGAAAGTGTTGTTATCCTCACAACCATCCATCAGTAGACAACTCATAGTTGGCTGTGATTACCTTGTTTCATTTGTCCAAACACGAAAAAACGTTTCTGACACTGACAACCTGACAAACGTTTTGCAGAGACGGAGCGCAAGAGGCCCTTATTCGCGGCCTGACGAAGCTGTGTTTCAAATTATTGATAAACGTGGATCGACACTTAAATCTTTTCAAATCCCAGGAAAGTTTTCTGATTTCAGTGTTAATGTTGCTGAATCCACACTGAAACGAATCTCTGAAGAACTTGTTGCATATGAACTCCACGAGGGAGTGGTCACAGCCCAGAATGTCAAAACTAACACAGGGCTAGGCACGTTTACTGTTAACAACACAGAAATTACAGCAGTGAATTTCTCATCGAATGGAAAATCAGCCGTTGTTGGGTGTGCTAACGGAAATCTACATATCATTCAGATGATTTGATCAGTTAGTACTACTACGACGACGGCGTGTAAGACGATAAGCAGACTTTTGATTAGAGGTAGCTGGTTTATTTAATGACTAGATAATCAATAGACCTCTTTAGGTTGTACAGTATGATTTGGTAGAGGTTCCAGGAGAACTTTAATCTTTGTCTTTTTATAAATTATGCGTACATATGCACGTAAAAGAAACAGTTCTCTAGAGTAGTATCACATAACCTGTATTGGGAAAACAAAAGATACTAGCTAAAGAGGTCCATTGAATAAGTATATTTACTATATAGATACTGATAAAATACCAGGATTTTTTCGTTTACTACAAAGTCATATTTTCGTTGCGGGCAGTGAAGATACTATTTTTATCTTTCACGTGTGAGGATATTGGTGTCGCCATGGTTACTAACATGATTAGCCAATTACAAGAGAGCTTCCCGCTCAGGCACGCGGCAGGTTCTTTTGAAATTTCTTTCACAAAATGGTTTAGAGGTGCGAAGACGACACAGTTACCCGTGACTTTCTCGATGAGCTGCCAAATTTTCACATCGATACTTTGTCCGAGCTTGAGGAACATTCGGGAAAATTTGCCGAAGTCTGATTTGCTGTTTCGAAAATGAAAAAAAAAAGTTGTGTTTTATGTAGGAATTTCATGCTGAAAGTATCTCTCACTATACTTTCAGCACACGACGATAAAATTCGTATCCCCTCGCGGGCATGTCATATCTTCTATATATATATTTTTTCATCAATGACATCAATCATTTTTTTATTTATTTTGGTCGATCTGTCAGTTATAGTTATTTATCTTGCCTGCTATTTATGTGTTTATTTACTATTTATTATTTACGTATAAATTATCAACGTGCCACTTCACGTATTATCAAAACGTATTATAAAATACATGTATTATCGAAGTCCCAATGTTTAGTTGATGATAATCGGGGTTTGTAGAAGACAAATAAATTATGTGTACCTTTTTGAGATCCAGCTGTTTATTGTGATCTACCACATGCTTACGACAATCTTCCCAAACCTTCCACTGCCTACTGAATCTAGGATGCCGGCACAAATTGGTCTCTCAACCAGAGAGGACGTCTCCAACAGTGATAATGTACCCTGCGAGCAGTGGTTTCTCCGGGCCGGACGGTACGCTACTTTGAAAGGAGATAAACCACTGCGAGAAAACGCTTGCCTCTCTGATCAAGCCACCGTCCTTTGCCATGGACGAATGAATTAACTTTGAACCGGTGAAACCTGTTCAAAAAAAAA